AGGGTTAGTTACAAAACAAGTCTTATCATGGAAATAATAATTAACATCTTCTTTGCTGAAAAAAATATATATTGGGGATTTTCTGATTATACAAGTACATTTCAGTTTTCCTTCCTAGTCTTCACATAAACACTGTTTGATTGAATGTGCTGCATTGTTCAGTGTGTTTGTATAATTAAAATGTAATAATAGCGGTGCCAAGTGACTCCAGTGGGGAGTGTGGCCTGTAGTGGGTGAGCCAAACTAAGCCCCACTGTGAGCCTGTAAAGAGAGTTAGAAGTGAAGGCCCATTGGCTCCTCCTAGGAACCAATTCATTGGAAAAGACCCTGATGCCGGGAAAGATTGAAGGCAAAAGAAGGGCACGGGCAGAGAATGAGATGGTTAGATAGCATCACCGACTCAAAGGACATAAGTTTGAGCAAACTCTGGGAGATAGTGAAGGACAGGGAAGGCTGGCATGCTGCAGTCCTGGGGTTGCAAAGAGGCAGACATGACTTAGTGACTGAACAGGGAGATGGAGGAGATTTTGTGATTCTCTTTCTGAAGTTGTAATCATGGTTTGCCTAAGTGTTGCATTTATAATGGCGGTTCATTCAGTGTAATATGAGCACAGGGAAGTCCGTGGAGGTTGGTGTTCTGTTTCCTTGACAAAGGGTTTGGGAATTTGGGAGTTCTTTTTGGTTGACACCTGCTGAGAAATTCCTCACTTGTGAGAATGGAAGAGGGGATGGCCTTTTTGGGGTCCATACCCTTCTTCCCCAGAGACTGACTCACTTTTAGGGTTCTATTGCAGTTGGGAGTATCTGGACCACAATTTTTAAAATTACTTCATGTATTTATTTTGGCTCTTCCAGGTCTTCATAGCTGCGCTTGGGCTTTCTCTAGTTGCAGCACAGGGGGGGCTGTACTCTAGTTGCAGCTTCAGTAGTTTTGGCGCATGAACTCAGTTGCCTTAAAGCATGTGGAATCTTCCAGGACCAGGGATCGAACTCATGTCCCCTACATTGGCAGGCAGAATCTTAACCACTAGACCACCAGGGAAGTTTGTAGGCCAGATTTTAAGAACATATTTAACTTTCTGAATGTGGGTTTTCCTTTTCAGCTGTAAGGGAGCAGTCTGCTTATCTCAGCTGATTCAAATATTTACTTTTCTTTCCTTTGGATTCCTTTATCTGTTGAATAAGGTGGTTCTGTAATTTTTTTCCTTAGTAGTTCCTATATAACCCATCTATTTGCACTATTTTTTTAAATTTTGTATTGCTGCATTACATTATAACAATTACTAAACCAGTATTAATGTATTAAAGTCCACAGTTTTCATTATCAATGTCTTTTTGGGTTATAGGATCTATAGGTTTTGGTAAATGTTTAATGACATGTATCCATCATTTCTCTACCCTCAAAATCCCTTGTGCTTCACCTTTTCATTCATCTCTCCCTCCAAACCACAAATTCTTCAGAACCAAAGATATTTTTATGGCTCATAATAATGTCTTTTCCAAAATATCATCTACTTGGAATCTTATGTTGCCTTGTCAGATTGGCTTCTTTCACTTACCGATGTACTTTTGAGATTCCTTCATGTGTTTTTATGGCTTGATACCTCATTTCATTTTTTTCTTTGGGCATTTTTTCTTTTTTTGTTGTTATTGCCCTTGCTTTTTTTTCCTTTGGCTTTTTGAGTTCCTTCTTGTTTACTTTTTTATCAATTATTAATAACGCACCTACAGACATTCGTGTTAGGCTTTTGTGTGTACTTAAGGTTTCAGCTAATTTGTGTCTCTATCAAGGAGCAGGATTGCTGGATCTTCCTATATGTATGAGTATGTTAAGGATTCATGGGAAATTCTTATCTTCCAATGTAGGCATACCAATTTCATTCCCACCACCGAGGAATGAAAATTACCAGCAGCTTCTCATCTTCACTAATGTTGGGTGTTTTGAATTCACTTAATAAGTGTGTAGTGACACATTATTATTGTTTTATTTGTATTAATAATTCTGCAAAGACATGTTCAGCATGTTTTCATATTGTTTATTTCCCACCTGTATATCTTGTTTGGGGTGGTGTCTATTCAGATCTTTTTCCCATTTTTAATTGAGTTGTTTATCTCTTTACTGTTGAGTTTTAAGAAGCCTCTGTGTATTTGAGATTACTAGTCATTTATCAGATATGTGTATTACAGAGATACTCTCCTAATCTGTGACTTTTCATTCTCTTAACGCTTTCTCCACCACAGGAGTTTTCCTTTTAATGAAGGGACACTTACCAGTTTTTCCTTTCATGGTTTGTTTGGTTTTGGTGTTGTATCTAAGTATGATGTTAGCTGCAGGTATCTTGTTGATGTTTTTCTCAAGAACAAATAGTTCCCTGTATTATTAGTTTATTATCATAAATGGATGTTGAATTGTATCAAGTCTTTTTATGTTCATTTCCTCTTCCTTTCATTTCTGATATTTCTGTTTTGCCTTTTCTGTTACCTTGACTAGATGTCAATCAATTTTATTATAATTAATATTTTCTAAGGACCAGCTTTTGGTTTTGAAAAGTAGGAGAGTGGTTTTTTCCTTTCAAAAATTGAAAAATTTCACTCTACTCTCTTCCTGCTTGGTTTCTGAGAAGTCTGATCTAAGTCTAATCTTTTTTTTTTTCCTATAAAAGTAAGGTGGATTTTCCCATCTGACTTTTTTTCAATATATTCTCTTTCTCTTTGATATTTCAAAGAGAATATGAGACTTAGTGTGCATTTTTGATGGTTAGTGTTCTCTAAGCTTTTTGGATCTACAGCATGCCATTAATCATTAATTTTAGGAAAATCTCAATGATTATTACTTATTTTTTTGGTTCCTTTCTGTGTACCTTTTCTTTTAGATATTCCCATTTTGTGTATTTTAAGCCTTCTGTCATTGCTCTACAGGTTATGGATTTTGTGTCCTGTCTTGTTTGGGTTTTGGTTTGGGTGTTTTGATCTTTTTGTTAGCCTCTGGTGAAATGGATTATTTTCAGTATAGGCCTTCTTAAGAACAGAATATTTGGTGTTTATTTTTAAATGCTGTCTTTATTTCTTCTTTTCCAGTTTTGGAGAGAGTATTTTGCCTGTGAACTCAATTCACTGATCTAAGTTTTTTCGTTTGAGGCCAAGAATGATGGCTTCTGAGTACCTTAAATGCCAGTTTCAAACTTGTTAAGTCTCTGTCTCCAATTTTTGATGATTGATTGCTGACTGCTTTAAAAATCATTGCCTATCCTCTTTTGGCTTTTACCCACATCTATACAAAGTGACTGGAAAGCCTTAGTCTTCCTTTGTTAGTGGCAAGAGATTATATCTTCTTAGGTTTTTGTTCTTGTATGTGAACCCTCATCCTAACCCAGCCCCTAACTTCAGTTTTTTAAAATTCCAGATACTTTCTCATGCTTTGTGAAACCATTTCATGAAAGTGCTGGAGATGTCTGCCTTACCGTCCTCAGATACCTCAATTATTTAGATAATAAGACCTTTTATACACTATTGGCAGCATGTGCTGTCATCATCTAAGGGATTCTGAGACCCAGGGTTCAAGCTATCCTGTTTCTGTATACCTTGTGGGAGCTTGTGGCAGGGCAGCCTTTAGAGTGGCTGGTCAGGAAATAACTTCCTCCTGCAATTTGAAAATGGTGATTTCATATTCTTCAGGAGGAAAGTACTTCTGAATCCTTTACGTGTTTTATAAATACTAGGGCAGATTTACCATCAAACTCTTTATTTATTTATTTATTTTACTCTTATGATTTTTAATGAACACACTTGTAGTTTACAACTCTCAATCTATTCCTCAGGGTTGAATAGGCACTGGGCACTTGTGTTCTAAATCTGCCGTAAAGAGCTCTGCCAGCATATTATCTCACTCTGTGTGCCTGTATGTGCCTCTAAGCAACCTTGAGGTGCATAAGGCACATGGTTTTGTGGTTTGGTTTTCAGACTATCTTCCTAGAGTCTGAACTGTAAGTGCCAATTAGCTTTCTATAGATAGATTTTATTTATTTATTCATTTTGGCTGTGCTGGGTCTTCATTGCTGCACAGGCTTTTCTCTAGTTGCAGTGACTGGGGTCTGTTTTCTGTCTGCAGTACGTGGGCTTCTCATTGTGGTGGCTTCTCTTGTGGAGCATGGACTCTAGGGCATGCGGGCTTCAGTAGCTGTGACACGTGGTCTCAGTAGTTGCAGCTCCCAGGCTCTTGAGCACAGGCTCAGGATCTGTGGTGCACAGGCTCAGTTGCTCTGGGCAGCATGTGGGATCTTCTTGGACCAGGGATCAAACTCATGTCTCCTGCATTAGCAGGCAGATTCTTTACCACTGAGCCACCTGGAAAGCCTTAACTTTCTAGTGCATCAGATGAGAGAAAAAAGTGTCTGTAGTAAATATTGTAGAAGTGACAGGCATATTTCCCCACAAGAATATTTTCTTTCCATCATCAACATCTGACTACTTCTAAAGGCTTAGAATACTTTAAGGCCAAATTGGCTAGCTGGATCCTATTAAAAGTTTTACAGGTTTGTTGGACTCTTTTGTTTGGTGATGGGAATAGAAGAAAAAGCTTTCAGTTCAGCACTATGTTCTTATTCATAAAATCTTGTGCAAATTTGACCCTTTGCCTCATAAGTGCTATAAATGGTGGGTAAAATGAAGAATATGGAAGTTTTTCCTGACAAGGTATTGATGGTTTTAAAATGGTAACATTTGTTTCATTTATATAACATGTCTCTCACTTCTCCACATGTTCTGGACCCTGTTGTTAGTGAGAAATAAGATGTAATGTGATCAAAGTAAATATTTACACGTTCATTATGCTGCTAAATTTGTGAGGACGTATAGACAGAGTAAGTTCCTGATGATCAAGTCATAAAATAAATGTTTGGAGATGACAGAATCATATATAACCTATTCATATAAATGGTGTATAGATGTCTAGTCCCATTGGTGTCACACATCCTGCTATACACATATTTGGGGTGTTTTAGGACTTGGTGGCTAATGAAGATGTGACTATGAATTTCAGCCCAGAGGGGTGGGCTTTACTGAATCCTTCACAGAAGAAGCTCTACAAAGATGTGATGCGAGAAACCTTCAGAAACCTGGCCTCAGTAGGTGAGGATGACAGCTTTCCTTTACTTTGTCAATTAGAGAATAAATGTTTCTTACTCATTGATATTCTTCCATGATGACTTATGTGAAAGGGAGGATGTTGGTAAATAAACTAGACCTGTTCACAGCCAACAATGAATGTAGTATCTAATGCTTTCTGTATAATTTCTAATATTTTGGAATTGTTTTTCTTCATTTGCAATTTAGGGGGGAAAGGGAGCAATCATGACATTGAAGATCAGTACAAAAACCAGGGGAGAAAACTAAGGTAAGTCACACCCATAACAGAAAGTAGTGCCTCATGTGTGGCTCCTCGTTTGTGGTAAAATTTTAAAAGAAGGGGCCCAAACACATAATGCCTACTTCTCATTTATTTATTCTCTGAAAAAATTTTCTCCAAATCCTTTATAACATGGGACATAGATGTCCAGCATTTGGAAAATAGTTCTCTTGAAAATAGTATTTAACAAGCCCTATATGTGAATGTCACTTTTGATAATTCCAAGAGTGAAATCTTGAAGGGCATTCCTTTTTCAATTGAAAACCATTCAGACAAGGGAAATAACCTACGCTTTTGCTATAAATCACAACAGTGTAGCTCAAGTACCCTGCTAATAAATATTTAATTGTTAGTAAAGAAATCATTATTCATGTGATCCCCATTTTTTACAGGAGTCATGTGATTCTATGCAGGTAAAGAGGGTAGTCAGTGTGCAGGAAACTACAGCCTTATTCCAAAACTCAGTGTAAACAAGAAAACTACTAGAGTGAAACCATATGAATGCAGTGCATGTGGAAAAGTCTTTATGCATCATCTATCCCTTAATAGGCATATTAGGCATCATAATGGACATAAACTAGATGAGTACCAGAAATATGAAAAGAAGCCATATAAATGTAAGGAATGTAGTAAAGCCTTCAGTTATCTTCAGTGTTTTGAAAAACACAAATGAAAGCACAATGGACAGGAAAACTATAAATGTAAGAAGTATGGGAAAGCATTTCGTTTTCACACTTCTTTTCAAACCCATAAAAGACTTCATACAGGAGAAAAGCCCTATGAATGTAAACAATGTGGGAGATCCTTTATGTGGCTCACAACCCTTCAACGACACATAACCCATGCAGGAGATACTCCTTATAAATGTAAAGAATGTGGGAAACTCTTTAAGTGACTTACAACCTTTTGAAGACACATGATAATGCACACTGGAGATGCTCCTTATAAATTTAAGGAAATGGGAAAATCTTTAGTTTTTTAAGATTTGCACTACAAATACATGAAAAAACCCACATGGGAGAGAAACCCTATCCATGTAAACAATGTGGAAAAACCTTTAGATATCATCAAACTTCAAATACATGAAAGGACTCACAGGAGAGAAACCCTATGAATGTAAGCAATGTGGTAAAGCTTTTGTTTCTCCTGTAGGATTGAAAAACCATGAAAGAAATCACAATGGAGAGAAATTCTATAAATGTAAAACATGTAGTAAAGCATTCAGTTATTCCGGTTCTCTTTGAAAACGTGAAAGAAATCAACTGGAGAGAAACCCTACGAATATAAAGAGTGTGGAAAAGGCTTTATTTTTCTCTCAATCCTTAGAACAGACATAAGTCACTCTGGAGATGGACCTTATAAATGTAAAGAATGTGAGAAAGCATTCGTTACTCCCAGTTCATTTCAAATACATGTAAGGACTCACACAGGAGAGAAGCCTTATAAATGTAAACAATGTGGGAAAACTTTCAGTTGGCCTACTTCCATTCACAGACATGAAAAAAATCAGTGGAGAGAAACCCTGTAAGTGTAAGCAATGTGGTAAAGCCTTCAATTGTTCCAGATCCTTTCAAAGCCATGAAAGGAGACACAGTGGAGAAAAGCCCTATGGATGTAAAAAATGTGGTAAAGCCTTCAGGAGTCCAAATTCCTGTCAAAAACATGAAAGAATTCATAGTGGAGAGAAACCTTATGAATATAAGGAACGTAGAAAAGCCTTGAGTTCTCTCACCAAATTTCAAAGACATGTAATGAAGCACATTGGAGACAGACCTTATAAATGTAAGGAGTGTGGGAAAGTCTTTGATTGTTCCAGTTACTTTCAAAGTCATAAAAGGATTCACAGTGTAGAAAAACCCTTTGAATGTAAGGAATGTTATAAAACCTTCAGTACTCCTAGGTCCCTTTGAAAACATGAAAGAACTCATACTGGGAAAAAACCTCATATATGTAAGGAATATGGTAAAGCCTTTAGGTATCCCAGCTTCCTTTAAAAACATGAAAGGAGTCATACTGGGGAGAAATCCTATCACTGTAAACAATGTGGTAAAGCCATCACTTATTTCAGTTCCCTTTGAAGTCATGAAAGAACTCATAGTGGAAAGAAACCCTATGAATGAAAGGAATGTGGGAAAGCCTTCATTTTTCCCTCAAAATTTCATTTACACATGATAAAGCCACTAGAGTCAGACCTTATTTGTGTAAGAAATGTGGGAAAACCTTCAGTTGTTCCAGTTCATTACAAAACCATGAAAGAACACACACTGGAAAGAAACCGTATGGATGTAGGAATTGTAGTAAAGCCTTCACTTGAGTTCATTCTTTACAAAACCATGAAAGAACTCATATTGGAGAGTAACCCTATGAATGTGAGAAAGTGGGAAAGCCTTTAGTTCTATCACCAAATTTTCAAGACATGTGGTGAAGCACAATGGATAATGTAAGAAATGTAGGAAAGCCCTCAATTTTTTTCAGTTCATTATGAAATCAGAACTCACACTGGTAAGAAACCACATGAATGTAAAAATTATAGGAAAGCCTTCGATGGTCCTAGTTCTGTTCAAAACCATGAAAACACTCATAATGGAAAGTAGGCCTATGAATGTAAGAAATGTAGGAGAACTTTGTTGTCTCAGTTCATTCTGAATACAGAAAGGAATTCACACTAGAGAATTCCTTGAATGCAAAAGAAATATGGTAAAGCCTTCAGCAATTCCCATTATGTTCAAATGCATGAAAGAACTCATAACAGAAACTGAATGTAAGGAATGTTGGAATGCCTTTGTCACATGACATTTTAAGGATGCAAGATGATGCACATCATGTAAATGTGAGAAATTGGGGGATTTTCTCTCATATTTTTGGGAAAGAACTCACTCTAGAGAGAATTCTATTAAATGTAAACAATATATGAAAACCTTCATTTGCCTTACATTCTTAAAACCACGTAAGAATGTACACTGGATAGATACCATATAACTGAAATGAAAAGTAAAACTATTCATTTGAAACAAATATCTTTATAGTAATATGAAAACTGCACTGGAAAAAATTTATGTTAATGTAAGTAATATGGGTAAGCCTCTGCAAATCCATGTAGAAAGCTCTCAAAGTTACAATATGGAGGAAATGTTATAAACTTTAAACATATACTTTCCCTACCAGTGGCATACTCTTAAAGTTATTCTCTGAAGTATGGAGTTCTACTTATTTTTGTAAGTAAATATTGAGGTAAGATAATTGTGTTGATACTCTTTAGGCTGTCGTTCCTAAGTTTAATAAGTAATTTAAGCTTTTATCAGTTATATTTTTTTATTTTTACTGTTAAGACTCTTTGGTCCATGGGTGATTTGCAGTGTATTTCTAATATGCAAGTAGGTTTCATTTTTAAATAATTTTGTAATTTTTGTGTAAATAAGGGAATACTAAAAAGTGACATTTTGGTACTTGTTTGTTTCTTGTGGCAAGTACTCAATACTCAACATCCCTTTTACATTATATTCAAACTTTTCATTGGCTTAAGAGCTTTATTCCATTTGCTTCCTAACAGAAATGTAATAAAGAGTTGGGCCTGTATTTGTAAGTATACAGAGTTCTTCATGTAGTCTCATGTGAATTATTCATCTTTTGTCCTTTGTTATTTGTCATTCCTTCTGGCTTGGATTTGGGTTCTGGAATATTGAGAGACCTGTGTGATGACAATAAAATCTAGAGTTGGAGATGACTCTTTTTAACTGTTTTGTCAATGTGAGTAATGTGAACTACAGTTTCTAGATTGTTTTTTTATGGTCCCATGTTAGAATTCACCAAAGTTGTTCAGTTGTCTCAGTTCATTCTGAATACAGAAAGGAATTCACACTAGAGAATTCCTTGAATGCAAAAGAAATATGGTAAAGCCTTCAGCAATTCCCATTATGTTCAAATGCATGAAAGAACTCATAACAGAAACTGAATGTAAGGAATATTGGAATGCCTTTGTCACATGACATTTTAAGGATGCAAGATGATGCACATCATGTAAATGTGAGAAATTGGGGGATTTTCTCTCATATTTTTGGGAAAGAACTCACTCTAGAGAGAATTCTATTAAATGTAAACAATATATGAAAACCTTCATTTGCCTTACATTCTTAAAACCACGTAAGAATGTACACTGGATAGATACCATATAACTGAAATGAAAAGTAAAACTATTCATTTGAAACAAATATCTTTATAGTAATATGAAAACTGCACTGGAAAAAATTTATGTTAATGTAAGTAATATGGGTAAGCCTCTGCAAATCCATGTAGAAAGCTCTCAAAGTTACAATATGGAGGAAATGTTATAAACTTTAAACATATACTTTCCCTACCAGTGGCATACTCTTAAAGTTATTCTCTGAAGTATGGAGTTCTACTTATTTTTGTAAGTAAATATTGAGGTAAGATAATTGTGTTGATACTCTTTAGGCTGTCGTTCCTAAGTTTAATAAGTAATTTAAGCTTTTATCAGTTATATTTTTTTATTTTTACTGTTAAGACTCTTTGGTCCATGGGTGATTTGCAGTGTATTTCTAATATGCAAGTAGGTTTCATTTTTAAATAATTTTGTAATTTTTGTGTAAATAAGGGAATACTAAAAAGTGACATTTTGGTACTTGTTTGTTTCTTGTGGCAAGTACTCAATACTCAACATCCCTTTTACATTATATTCAAACTTTTCATTGGCTTAAGAGCTTTATTCCATTTGCTTCCTAACAGAAATGTAATAAAGAGTTGGGCCTGTATTTGTAAGTATACAGAGTTCTTCATGTAGTCTCATGTGAATTATTCATCTTTTGTCCTTTGTTATTTGTCATTCCTTCTGGCTTGGATTTGGGTTCTGGAATATTGAGAGACCTGTGTGATGACAATAAAATCTAGAGTTGGAGATGACTCTTTTTAACTGTTTTGTCAATGTGAGTAATGTGAACTACAGTTTCTAGATTGTTTTTTTATGGTCCCATGTTAGAATTCACCAAAGTTGAATAGACAGGTAACTTGAAATGCAGAAGTGAAATAGTATTAGGTAGATTTGGAGCCACCTGTATGGAAAGAGACCAGAAGTATAGGGCCTTTGCGGGCACTTGCTTCAAGCCTACTTTCCTCATTTTTTGCTCTGCCAGTCAAGAATATCCTCAAAACTGAAGAGTCCAAGATGGTAGAGTAGGAAGACCCTGAGCTCACCTTCTCCCATAGGGATACCAAAATTACAACTATTTGCCAAGCAACCATTGATGAGAAAGACCTGAACACTAGCAGAAAAGATCTACGGGTAAAGATAGGAAGAAGGACCCACAGTGAGACCAGTAGGAAGGGTAGATAAAAGTTATAGTCAAGACCCATGACCCACAACAGGAGGATAGTTATAATTGCAGAAGTTGTCCCAAGGAGCAAGGGGGTCCAACCCCTGCCCCCATCTTACTCCCAAGCCTAGGTGTCCTGCACTGGGTAGATGAGCCCCCAAAACATTTGAAGACTGCAGGGCTTGCTTACCAGAGAGTAAGGGGGCTGTAGGAAATAGAGACTCATTCTTAAGGGGTGCACATAAAATCTCACATGCTCAGGGAAAAAGCGGTATTTGAAAGGGGCATAAGTCTGACCCACCTGCTAATCTTGGAGACTCCTGGAGAAACAAGAGGCAACTGATGCTTATCCTTGGGACACAGACACTGATGACAGCCATTTTGGGAGGCTCATTCTACCACAAGGACACTGGTGCTTGTCCTTCTAGTTTATTAGTGTGAGAGACCTGTGCTACTCATCAGCCTATTGGCTTCAGTATTGGGATGCCGCAGGCCAGGCAGCTAGCCAGGCAAGGTCACAGCCTCACGCACATATGACCAGCTGCCTGAAGACATTTTGAGCCCCCAGTTGCCCTGGGGCCCCTGTGGCCCCACAGCCAGTTGTTGGGATCCAACCCTGATTACCAGTGGGGCAATATCAGCTTTGGGATACCCTAGACTTTTGGGGGCTTCCCTGGTGGCTCAGACAGTAAGAAATTCACCTGCAATGTGGGAGACCCGGATTTTATCTTCTCTGTTGGGAAAATACCCTGGAGAAGGGAATGGCAACCCATTTCAGTGTTTTTGCCTGGAGAATTCCAGGGACAGAGGAGCATGGTGGGCTACAGTCCATGGGGTCACAAAGTTGGACACAACTGCGTGACTAACACACACAGGCCTTGTAGCCATCTGTAACAGAAATAAGCCCGTTCACCAGTGGGCTGACACCAGCTCTGAGACCCCCAGCTTACAGCAGTGAAAGACTCCAGGATCTGGCTCTACCCACCAGTGATCTGGCATTAACTCCAGGACCCCTTAGACTTCAGCCCCGCCCACCAGCTCCAAGACACCTTGGACCCTCCAGCCAACCACCCTGGGGTTTGGCTGCAGTTTCCAGCAGGCAAACACTAGATTGAACTGGCATTACCAGACCTGGTGGCCTATTGATTCCCAAAGACTAGCCTCAAACAGGAAGGGCTGGTAGGAAACCCTGAAACAGATCCTGTGGTGAACTGGCTCCCTCTCAATCTTGCCCTCCTCCAAAGTTGAGTCTTGCCCTCCAAAGTTCCTGATACCTCTAAGGAACAAGTTTTGCAATCATCTCTTGCCCCTAACACACTGACACTGGAGACCAGAAAGCACATAATGACTTCAGGCTGGCTCTGATGCACACAGATGGACCCTGCTTAGACTTCTTTGCCTCTCCAGGAAAGGGAGAAGGGGCTGAGTGGGGTATGCAGCATTTCTAGTGAGGAACTGCAGGGCATCAGGGCAGGGTTCTGGTCAGAATGAGGCCTGTGGAGCCAGGCTTCATGCAGAAGCAGTGGAAAACCTCCCACCAGGCCATCCTGGGCTCTGGTCATGAGTCCCTCAGGACCGTGGACAAGCCTGAGAGGAAGGCAGGTGGTACTGGTTCTTCCTGCACCTGGAGACAAGGAGACCCAAAGGAGGGCAGAAAGGGTCCTCAAAACACTGTCAGCCTAGAAGCTTTTATTGCTTGTTTAGTCAGAAAAGCTTGACAGAACCCCACCCCAACCCCCACCATGGCAGATATGGCCAAAGGCCTGACCCTTAGGGTTGGGGTTTGGGAGAGAGACCTAGACCAGGGCCTTAGAATGAGAAGCTCCCACTTTCCTTCAGGAGACGTTCCTGACCAGCCCTGGAGCCCTCTTCCCCTACCTTTAAGATGCAGGATCCTGCAGATGTTGGGGAAGTAATCACATGGGCTTTGGGACCCTATTCCAATCATATGACATCAAAGCAAAGGACAAGGTCTCATATTCCAATCAAAACCTTGGGACAAGGACAAGGGTGGCTTCCCAGTGCTAGAGCAAGACACTGGGTGGTCAGGGCACCAAGCTGCTTCTCCACTGCCTGGTCCCAGGGAGCTCCTCAGACTGATCTAGTGTGTGGAAACTAGAAGGATAATGGGGAGGGAGGGAGTCCTGGATGAGCTGTGTTCTCACACCTGAAGCAACTTACAGATTCTTGGTGACACTGACCTAGGGAAAACGGGTAGGGGACAAGGACTCCTGCCCACCTGAGGGAGAGAGGGGAGGCCATGGTTAAGGCAGAGCTGTTGAGCTATGGCTCCCTCTGGGGGACCCCTTGTGCTCCCAATTACAGCAGCTCTTTCTTTCCCTGTTGTTTTCCACCCTGGGGAAACTCTGTTTTTGTGGCTTTTTTTTTTTTTTTTTNAGCAGCTCTTTCTTTCCCTGTTGTTTTCCACCCTGGGGAAACTCTGTTTTTGTGGCTTTTTTTTTTTTTTTTTAATTTTTTTAAAAATTACTTTTGGCTGTGCTGGGTCGTTGTTGCTGCATGCAGGCTTTCTCTAGTTGCAGCGAGCAGGGGCCTGTTATAGTTGTGTTTCACCAGCTTCTCATTGCAGTGGCTTCTCTTGCTTCAGAGCATGGGCTCTTCGATGCACAGGCTTCAGTAGTTGTGGCTTCTGGGCTCAGTCGTTTCCAGGCTCTGGAACACAGTCTCAATAATTGTGGTGCATGGGCTTAGTTGCCCTGCAGCATATAGGATCTTCCTGGATCAGGGATCCAACCTGGTGCCTGAATTGGAGGCAGACAGATACTTTACCACCAAGCCAGCAGAGAAGTACTATCCAAAGCATTCTTAGGCCAGAAACTATTCTCAGCTGTCAGTGAACACAGTTACTGATGCCACTGCTGGCAACTGACAGTTTATTTGTAATGGAGGACCTCCCACTTCCCAGTGTCTGAATTAATGATCCCTTAAAGTCAGCTTTCCATTTGGCATTGGGTCATAAATGCAGGATCTCTTAAGCTTTCTAACTAGAGGCCTTCTCTTTGAATGTATATTGGAATTTACAGAATAGAGCCAAACACGGTGCTTCTGGCATATCCCACCTAGAGGAGGAAGTGTGTTGACCTGTCCTATGATGGATGCCATCTGTTCTGGAGTAGGTTATTTCTTTTCTAGACATAGTGGCCATTTTGGGAGCCACTTGGGATCACACGGCTCACCAGAGGGTTCACATACCTTGTATACAGTGTGCTGCCATTGCACTTGATGGGGTCCACTGCAAAGATGCTGTGTTTTATCTCTAGAGCAAACAGTCCTTCTGGGATGACAGATGACCTGTCAAACTAATCAATCATGCTAGCAGAGAATTTCCTTGCCAAGAATCAAACTCAGGACTTCCCTGGTGGTCCAGT